TTTGTCGTTATCACAATAGTTGCTCATCTTATTTGACACGATCAAATTTCTTTGTCCAGTAATATTGGCGTATTTGTTAATATCTATAATTAATCAATCGGTCAAATCAGAACCATACATAAATATATACAGATAAAATAAAGCAAATTGAGCAATGATTCTGATCAATGATGATGCAATTGATGTAAAATCAGTAAAAATGTTTTAATTCCGTCCACGAGTTGTATTACCTTACATCACATCTTATTACAATTAAATCAAATTTCTATAATTATTTATTTATCTGCACACTGGCAATATTAGTAATAGTAGATAAACCTTTTGTGAGCATTACATTGCATTCATCAACCACGCAGTTTTGGTGATATTTCATTTTCACCACAATATATGTTCAATAAAGTTTCCCGTTTATTTAAAAATGGGCGGAACACTGAGAATTTTTTTTAATAAATTAAATATCTAATATATATCTAGCACGATGTTTTGAGAAAAAAATACAAAAAAATTTTCATACCAAAATTTCCAAATTTTTATAGCTCAACACAAATAAGAGATTATTCAATCAATAAGTGAAAGGTTACTTATATTTATAGAGAAAAAAGCAAACTTACAGTTCTCTGAACATTTCTCGAAAGCTTAACAATAAAAATTCAGCTATAAAAACATACGTGCTGTACACTATAAGACAGAAGATCAATAATGGCAACTCCAAGAGACGAAGAAATTCCACCAGAACATCAGCATCAACAAGCGGAAGTAGTTCTTCCGGTCTCACCCAAAGGTGGGAAATCCGTCAGTTCAAATAAGTCTTTCGGAAATGCAATATCTGCATTTAATTTTACTTCTTTGACGAGCCCACAAGTAGGTTTCGGTGGAAGATCATATTACAGTTCGCAGAGTTTACCGCAGTCTGGTATGTTATTTGACGAGTATTTTAGTATGTGCATGAAAATCTTATCTAACAGATAAGATTATGTGTTACATATGTACAAAGTCAGATTATCTTATAATGTCGATCATAGAAAAACATTGCATTAACTAAATTTTTTTTAAAGGGCATCCTTCATACTCTGCATCGCCATTGAATATTCGACAACAAACCCTAAAATTGGGTGATATCGGCTTAGGTCAAGAAGGCGAGCAAGATAGTGATGACACTGGCTCAAAAGGATCTATAGGGTCACGTGATCCGGATCTGCCAAACAAAAGTAATCTGTCATTGCTTTTGAAATCAACTTCTCCACCGAAAGGTGAAGGACAAAATTCAAAAAAACCACATCCCATATCGACAATTCAAGAGGAACCAGAAAATAATTCGAAGACAACAAAAAACCTAACAACCAGAGTTACACCACCTACTCCTTTAGATCAAGATCCGAATGTTGATCTATCAACAAATCAACCATTTGATGAGCATCAACCATTATTGAAAAATCAGCTTGTCTTAGCGCCTAATTATGGCATCGGTGTAATTGAGGATGATGCATTATTAGACGAAGGAACGTGGGAAGAGAAACCATGGCTTTCATGGTTACCATGTGTCAATGATTTAAGCTTCCTTCCGTTATATGTAGAAGAAGATTCGCATTCAGGTCCCAATCGAAGAGTTCATATAACTCCAAAACTAATCTTCGAACAAGTGATTTTAAATCCAATCTCATATATACCGGCGGTTATCCTAGGGTTACTACTGAATTTACTTGATGCTATTTCTTATGGTAAGTAATGTGTATATTACTCGCGCATCAATTATAAATATTACCTAAGAGAATGACGAGATATATATTCTGATTTAATATTAGGTATGATCACTTTTCCCATTGCACAACCAATTTTCAGTCAATTTGGACCTGACGGTGTTTCTATGTTTTTTGTTAGGTATACTAATTGCGTTAGTTTTTTATAATAATATGCAAGTAAATTTAATCAATTTTTTTACATTCTTAGTACCGTCATTTCCCAGTTGGTCTATTCCCTTGGCGGAAGTATTTTTGGTGGTGGTAATGGAAGTATGATGATTGAAGTAGTGCCATTTTTACACATAATGTAAATATTTTTATTTAGTAAAAAGACTTTTTTTAACTGCTTATTAATGCGCATTGATATCTGAACTAATTTTTTATAGGGCTGAAACTATTATCCGAGAAGTGGGTGAAGAAAATCCAAAATCAATTATCGCTACAACTATGCTTGCATTTGCATTTAGTACGATCGTCACTGGTGGTGTATTTCTCTTGTTAGGTGCCTTAAAGGTATATAAGCATTTTTTGTATAATAATTTAATAAAATTTTATCATTTGGCTGATCATAATTATTTTCTCATGATAAATAAAAGCTTGGCTCTTTAATTGAATTTTTCCCGCGACATATTCTCGTTGGATGTATTGGTAAATTATCATTCCTTGGACTCTAAATTACATTTATTTTTGATATAAGAAACTAACACATTAAGATCATGAATTTTTCATATCCTAAGGTGGAGTTGGTTGGTTTCTTGTAGCTACCGGGATTGAAGTCGCAGCTGGTTTAGACGGAAATTTGGAATACAACTTGAAGACCCTCAAATTATTGTTTCTTAATTCACATATACTAGCATTATGGGGTTCAGCCTTTGGGCTTGCCGTATTATTGAGATATATTCATAGCAGAATCCATCATCCTCTTGTCGTCCCGCTTTATTTTATGTTTGTACCCCTGCTCTTTTATTCCGTCGTTTACTTATTTGGTTTGAAATGGGAAGACATGAGAAATGATCATTGGGTATTTCCTTTGCCTGAGGGCAAGGCCCCTTGGTATCGGTTTTATACATACTACGGTAATTCTGAATTAATTTGAAGCGTTGTTAAGTATCCTCATTATTGATATTGATCTTTTTCTGACCCGAATCATTTAGATTTCAAAGAAACAAACTGGGGTGCTCTTGCACAGACTATTCCTGCTATGTTTGCATTGACTTTCTTTGGTACATATTTTGGCTTCTTATTAAGTGTTGAAAAAATATTTTATTTACGTTTCGTTGCTTTCATTAGGTATTTTGCATGTTCCTATCAATATCCCGGCTCTCGGTGTTTCAGTCGGTGAGGACAATGTAAATACAAACCGCGAATTAGTAGCCCACGGAGTTTCCAATATGCTGTCAGGTTTTGCTGGAAGTGTACAAAGTAAGGTTTATATTTAAGATAGGTATGTATAGCTATATAATATTAATACGAAATTGATTATTTTTCTACAGATTACTTGGTATATACAAACTCTGTACTTTTCATAAAATCGGGCGGTGATAGTCGTGTAGCTGGTGTAATGCTTGCCGCCGGCTCTGCGATTATTCTATTTGTAGGTCCATGGATTGTAGGCTATATTCCGGTAATGGTTGTCGGTGCCCTCATTTTTCATCTAGGGTTAGACCTGCTAAAGGAGGCGTTGATTGACACCTGGGGAGTTGTGAACAAACTCGAATATATTACTATAACAGCGATTGTCATTGCAATGGCAGCATTCGGATTTATTGAGGGTATATTCCTGGGAATTATAATGGCATGCGTTTTCTTTGTGGTTTCGAATTCGCGTAAAACTGCGATTCGTGCCACTTATTATGGAAGCTCCGTAAAATCCACAGTTCGTCGCCTCTATCGTCAACAAAAATTCCTAAAACATGTTGGCAACCAAATTTTTGCCATAAAATTACAAGGATACTTGTTCTTTGGAACTATTAGTGGAGTTGAGAATGCTATTCGTAAGGTGTTGACTCAACAAGAATGGCGCAGGAATCCTATTCGATTTTTGATTGTGGATTTTTTCCTTGTGAATGGATTAGATTTCAGTGCTGCTGAAGCTTTTATTCGTATTCAAAGACTTTTGCAGGCAAGAGATGTATATCTGGTATTGTGTGGGGTGCAGGGAGATTCTGATGTTGGAAAAGCTTTAAGATCTGTGGGCATGTGGTGGGTAGATGACGTAACAACTGGATATTTACAAATTTTTGAGAATTTCAATGAAGCACTGGAGTGGTGTGAGAATAAGTTGCTTAAAGCTTATTATGTACGTCGTAGTACTATTCCTCCACCCGAACCTTCTCACAGTGAACTTGGTAAGTTATTTTTCTTGATTCAGTATAATCTCAACTTCAAAGATTACGATATCGAGTTAATTATATTTGTCATTTTTTAATATGATAATAGTGCCGCATTCTCCTCCAAAAGAAATAATGGACTTCGCTTCACCCAGACGCAAACATGTACAGGCGATAGGTCAAATTACATTACAAGAGGGTAAGCATTTGTATAATTTATGTTTCAAAAATTCTCTGTTTAATATTTATTAACATTGATGACTTTTAATCGATGATTCTTGCTTCTAGAAAGTAATCAAGTACAAACACATACCCAGCCCTTCGCATTGCTAGTACAAACCTTTCAAGATATATCTGACAAAAACGATGAATTCTTTCGTCAGCTTATGCCATACTTTCACGAAATTCATGTCCCATCAGGCGCGTGTCTTTGGAAACAAGGTGACTCGCCAGACTGTCTTTATCTCGTCGAGCGGGGATTACTTCGTGCAACATTCAAAGCAGAAATAGGCGAACAAGCAAAACCAGTCGAAAGCATATTACCAGGCACGATGGCCGGTGAACTAGGATTCTTTGCGGATCGCCCGCGAGACGCGACATTGTACGCCGATATGGATTGTATATTGTGGCAGATGCGAACTTCGGATTACGGTAAATTATTGAGTAAGGAACCGTTGATTGCAAATGAATTTATGCGATTGTCGTTGAATTTTTCGGCGGAGCGGTTGGCTACTATGACACATTACGCTTTTCATTTGGCGTAATTTAAAAGGTAAAAAAAGTTTTATTGTTAAATTTTTTATTGTTTGTATTGATCTTCCATTTTTAATGAAATGTGTTTTGGGCTTTAGGTTATATATAGAACATTTATTTAAAGAATCTCATACATACCCACATTTTATTGGGGATAATATTACTATATATCACTCATAAACAAAAAAAACTTTGCAACAAAAATTGGTTCTGGTAAATTAAAACCTCAAAGGAACACAAAATATGAACATTTCACAACTTAATTCACATAATTTATTCCATTTATTTTTTTAATTTGTTCAATGTAAATCAAACAATTTCTTTCTAAAAATCATTTCCAACATATATGTAAAAAAAACAAAAATTGTTAATTTCTTTAAATATCTCATTTATGATTAACTTGTTTATATAAAACATGTGTAATAATATTCAATAGGGATAATGTGCTAATATTATTTTGGTGTTCACTAAGCATAATCATATATGAGACACCGACAATTACGTGACTAAATATCGGAATCTTTTAAATTCCTAAACTTATTTACAAATATTATTTTTAAATCTGATCGTAAGTTTGTTTTGCATAATAAGCCACAAAGTTGTCGGCCAGAGTTTAAAAGAATATCTTTGAGTATAGATATCCCGCATCATAACTATGATGTGCGCAGTTTTTAACATTAAAAAATTCAGCGTGGGATTTTTCATCACGTATTGATTGATAAATATTAGCTAATATTGGAGTGAATGAATGGGCTCATGTTAAACTCAGATTATATAATTGGCTAGTTATTATAAAGGGAGAGAAGATTATAAATTATTATAAAATCATATATAAAATATTTCAAATAATGAAAAATTTTTTGATAAATTATAATAAGATGATATATATATTCATTTTCTAATTATGATAAAAAATTATATGCTTTATTTTAAATATAAATAAATAGAATTTAAAATTATATAAAATATTATACAAATTATTTTTTTTGTATTATAATAATAACTAAAAATAATGTATCAGAAGTTAAATTTATTAATAAAATATAATAAAAATTGAAATTTTCTTTCTATATTAAAATTTATAATTTTATTAAGAAGTAATTTTTATTTTTATAATGAAAAAATCTTAACTCATTAATTATATAAATTTGTTTTAATTTTACATATGTAATGTAATATAATATATTATATAATATAGTCAATAATATAATAGATATTAAGTAATAATATGTAATATAGTATGTTATATAATACAATCAATAATATAATAAATATGTATAATTTTTATTATTTCTTAAAATTTAATATAAATATTAATTAAGTAGATATTTCTTAAAATAATTAGAAATAATTAATTTTTTAGGAACTTAGATCTAATATTAAACTAATAAAAATTATTTATATATAATATATTATTATAATTAATTAATAAAACAAGTTTTATATAATAAAAAATTATATAATATATTTTAATTTTGATAAATTATATAATAAATATCTAATTTAAAATACTTATAACTTTTTATTTAAAAATTTAAATTAAAATTCTAATTAGTAGTTTAAGAGTATATATCTTAAATAATATTATTATTAGTTTATTTTTTTAAAATTTGATTTATTAAGAATTTTAATAGATTTTAAATATTATATAATTTATTAATAAGTTAAGATTTTCTATATTATATATTAAAATAAAGTTTATTAATTATAGTTAATATATATTTTTTTAAATTTTTTTTGAAAAAATTATTCTATAATATGAATGATCTAAAGATATCAAGTGCTACATTACCACTAAAATTTAGAATGCATATATTATAATATGATCATGTGATAGATGCATCGTATCAGAAAATATATCAGAAGCAATTTTGAGCTTTAAAAAATTATTTAGGAGACTTTTAAATATTATTTAGGAGACTTATATTAAAAACTCATAAGATAAGTTATTTCTCTCTTTTGCTATATAAAAAGGCTTGTTCAGAAGGCAATACTTTCTTTGCTATATAATTATAAAATAATAAATAAATCTCTTCTTTATGTTATTATCTTTCATTTCTATGATATAAGCCTTTTTTGCTATATTATTAATCCCTCTTAAGCTATTTTAAGATGTATTTTCTCTTTCTCATATCTAAATAAAGTAAATGTACTAGATACTGCTTAATAGTTATCAAAAAGTGCTAAAATAATATCAAGTTGAAATGGAAAAAGAAAGTATTAGATGCTGATGAATCAAGCAATGATATTATTTAGATGAAAAGTGAAAATAAGCCTTTAAATGATGGCCAATTCATAGAAGAGTTAGGAGAATTAAAACAAAGTGTACTAGAAAAACTCATCAAGAATGTAAGACAATTGGATATATGGATAATGAAGAGATAAAAGCTGATTTATAAAGATTTTGCTAAATTAATATTACATAATAAAAAAGTGATCTTAAGGAAGATAGCTTTTGGTTTTAACAAAATCACCAACTGATTTCTTATTGAGATAGCTAACTCCAGTGATAACAAGCTTCTGTTTGAGAAGATAATTAATTCTAATAATGACGAGCTTCTGTTTGAGAAAATAATTAATTCTAGTGATGATAAGAATACATTTATTTTGGTATCTCTTGACACTTTGCTAAAGAAAAAGTTTGATGTGTGGCTTGATATAGTGAGTCAATTTCTCCACCTTGTTCAAGATTAAGAATTCTCTAAACTATCAGCTAATAATCTTCTTGCTTGTAGTATTAATTGGGGTCCATAGTATAGGTGGGTTATTTATTTGTGAGCTAATTAATAGTCAAGTAAAGATAAAATTCTCATATCATGTTATGGCTATCATTCAAAAACTATATCACTCCTATCTGATAAAGTTTTTAAGACATGTATTATTAAATATTTACATGCAAACAAGTTCATAGTAACTATTTATGAATTTATCAAGTTTGTTAAGGATAAGGCTCTATCTGATCTTGAAATCAAGATAAAAAGAAAGATTAGTAAAATAATAGCTCAGAAGTGATTACATCAACTTGGCTAGGATTATAAGGACCATTTAAAAAATATTTACTTTGATAACTATGAGCGTGATGATGTGATGGCTTATTGAAATCAATTCTTAGAATAAATGGTAAATTTACAGTCTTGAATTATAATATATAAGAGAAAGAATATGGATCAAATTATCTTACTAATACTTCCACCCAATGTTCTTGAGTTTATTTTAGTTATCCATGATAAATCAATTTTTTATGCTAATAATAGTATCATCAAGTCCTGAAGTCTAGCAAAAGAAAATCAGCTCTAACACAAGTTACAAGATCTTAGTATTCATATGAGTGATTTTATTTGTGAATTAATTAGACATCTTTATCTTTCAACCAAGAATCAAGCTGTAAATGACTTGCTTCCTGATAATAATTAGCTTTTACATACTGAGATCTGTGTTATTATGTATCCAGATTCTAATCAAGATGACTGGTGAACAAATCAAGATCTTATAAAGCAAGTAGTTAACAGAGCTATTCTGATTTTTAAGAAAATATATCCCAATAAAGTTACACTCTTTATGTTTGATAACAGTTGTAATCACAGTATATATGCTAATAATGTCCTGATCATTTCACAGATGAATTTGAAGGATGATGGCAAATAACCACTTCTTCATGATAGTTAATATATTCTAAATAATAAATAATCATGAGTTTTTTATAGATATACCAAGTATAATAAGTTTTTTCATAGAATAAGATTATTTTGGAGTGGTTTTTTTGTATGAAGATATTTTTTGAAAATTTAAAGTCAAAAAATAAAATTTTTATGTATTAAAGTAAAAAATTATAAAATTGCATTAATCATTAATTCATGTGCATACAATAAAAAATATATTTTGATCAAAATATAAATACATAAATTACATCTATATTTGTAATGATCCTCAGAAAAAATAAATTGCTAGCAATTTCTTTAGAGATACAACTTATGGAATATACTCCCTATCAATATAAAGTATCTCTCTTACTTAGATATCTGGGATATTAAAATAGATATTAGAAATATCTAGATATATTGATCAGCAGTTTATGATATATAAACTTAAAATAATAATAATATATTTTTATATTATATAAAAGTTAAGTAAAAAAAAATAGAATTTTATAAAAAAAAGAAAAACTTATTAAATATAACTTATTTAAATAACTATTTTTTTTTCTTTAAAATTCTATTCTTTCTGAATAATTATATTTATATATTGAATTTAATAATATTTTTAAAAGAAGATAAAAAGAAATTATTAAAATATATACTATTTTTTATTTAAAAAAAGAAATAAATTATCTTTTTTTAGCTCAGATCTTTATTTTATATTATTTGTATAATAGATTAGTTTTTGTATTATATTTATAAAGATTAATTTCACTCTAAATATACAGATGATCATTTATATTATTATGCAGATAATTATTAAGTATATTATAATTATTATTAATATTTTAATTAGATTTCTTTTAATAATTTCTTTATAATTTTATTTGTTCTTTTCTTTATTATATTTATATTATTATTTATATTATTATTAATTATTAGATTATGATTAATTACTTTCTGAAAATATAAATTAAATTAATTAATTTTGTTAAATTATATATATTTTAAAATTAGAAATCATTATTAATTTATTTACTTTTTATATTTATTTCTTTACTATAAATATAATCTGTCTGTTCTGTACTTTTATCTTTAAATCTGTAAGATTATTTTATTAATGATTATAAATAAGATAAAATATAATATGAATAGTTTTAATTTTATAATTTATAATTATTTTTATTATTTAAAAGTATTTAGATCTGAAGGTAAAAATACAAAATAGATAAATTATATTTATATTGAAAGAAATAAATACAAAAAGTAAATAAATTAATAATAATTTTTATTTTTAAAATATATATAATTTAATAAATTAATTAACTTAATTTGTATCTTTAAAGAATAACTAATTATAATTCAATAAATAATAA